CTCTCTCACACACACACACACACACACACACACACACACACACACACACAAAGACAAACAGAGTGGCATGCACACATACACATTTTCTTGAAAGGAACTGCCCAAGGAAATTGAAAACAAAACACACACACAATACATATACATAGAGAGAGTCACGGAGAACTGGCAGGTGAACCATAGGCAGAAAGGGAGAAAAGGACAAGAAACAGGAGGCTGTGACAGGCTGTTTGGTCGGAGTTTTCACCAACTCGTCAGGAGGCTATGTAGATATAAATCTGTAGATATTAGGAGCTGCGTAAGGAACATGGGCCACCACTCACCTCCTCACCTAGAGCTTCCTTTATGTGAAGGAGGAACTTAGGAAAGCGAAGCCTTTGCAGAATCCTGTCAACCAAGGCCATATACATCGTCGGAGTTTTTGTTCCTTGGACACAAAAACAAAAGTAGTGCATACAGAAAACAGAATGCATAAGGGAGAAATAGGTGTCAGCAAATCTGATGAATAGGTGTGTCAGTAAACCTGATGCTGAAATTGTTTTCCTGCTTTGTGAAGAGCTCAATTCTGTTCTGCAGGTCACAACTCTCTATTAGCTTACCCACCACCATAACACCGGCATCAGCGCTCTTTTTCACAACAGGGCACAAAATGAAACGGTATTCACCAGTTAGAAGTAGCTGATGTAGGACCCAGGGTTCGATCCCTAGATCCCCAACTTACCTGTGTACAATATCTGTGACCACTTGAAGAATTGAACCTGCGACCTGTAGAACCGCCAGTGGTAAGTAGGTCTGTCGTAGGTCCTTAGGTAGCCAGGATTTGATCCATAGACCTGTAGAGTAGAAGTCCAGCTGCAGTCCTTCTAGAAGGTTGGCAAGTGGTCAAGTGGAGTGACTAAAGCAAGCCCATGTTGGAGATGAGGACAAGTGGCAAGGGCAAATAGTAGGACCCCAGTGCGACTGCACTGCGTCGTAGGGTTGTCACTATGCAGTCATGGGAAAGTCTAGAAAGTACCAGTCCGGTCCAGCAAGTACCACGGGGGGGACTGTGTGCCTCATGGGCCAGGGATGCAAGGCAAACGAATGCAACACAGAAGTATAAATCCAGAGGCTGCGTCCAGCCATTCATTCATTCCTGCGGAAGCTCTGCGGAAGCGCTGCTCGGGCGTCTTGTGCAAGGGAGGTCTGCAGATGGCCTGAAGACGAAGAGGGCAGAAGTTAGTGATAGGCTAGTTAGCTGTTAGTGGCCATGTGCCATAGCCATAGATAGTTAGTGAGTGTGTATGTGTGTGTGTAGTGGTTAGCGTGCATGGTATCCAGGGTGRTCCGGAGTCGAGTTGCGTGTGAACTCTGAGTCGAACGTGTAAGTGTGGGCGCCCAGCGCCATAGTCAACTGAAGTAAATTCGGATTTRAGTTGAGTTGCAAGCTACCATATCTCCGAGTTTGAGTTGGGTGCAAAGCGCCAGGCTATTCTCATCTGTTGCATGCATGTTTGAGTGTGAATTTGCAAGACTGATTTCAAAAAAGAACAAAAGAAAAGAAACTCTCAAATGCATATGCTTCCACCCATGCCACAGTTATGGGATTGACTTCCAACTCTCAACCAGCTAACAAGTGGTGCACGGCAATCGTTGTTTATTATTTTTAACAAATTCATAGTCACTCTTAGTCAGGTGAACAAAACAACAAAAAGAACATTGACTGAGATTGAATGAATCCCCAAAACATCCCCACAGCGCGACTCCAGCTGCAGAGTTCCAACGGGCATGCGCAAAAAACAGAGAAGCAACTCATGAGTGAGCTAGAGCCATCCAAACCATATCAAACAAAGAGAACAAAAAGTAATAAATGACTGATAATCTAGGCTATCAGAGTACCCTGAAGTCTCACGGCACCCTAGGTTCCCTAAATTCACATTGCAGCGGGACTCCTACTGCACAGTCAGACCCAAAGTCAGTCTTCTTCCTAACCATAAAAGCAAGTGCAGTGCATGATAACCCAATCCAACCAATCTGGTGCAGAATAGGGCATCAATACCTTCAATGCCCCTGCGGAGGTCGTTCAAGGGAACTCTCTCTCTCTCTCTCTCTCTCTCTCTCTCTCTCTCTCTCTCTCTCTCTCTCTCTCTCTCTCTCTCTCTCTCTCTCTCTACGTCTTTGGGGTTCACACTTTGAAAACCAGATCCAATTTGTCAATATCGAGGAATCTGCACAGCGGTTCGGTAAGTCATGCTCGCTGCACTCGTATGCACTTCATCATCCGAGTAGAACGCTCGGTCATTAAGACTGTATTGGCCAAGCTAGCTGTCTGGATACCACAATAATGACGGGGTTCCATTTGGGTGAAGACGGTAGCCTTTCGCACATATGCCCTGTTTTCTTTTCTGAAGAAAAGAATCATGGTATGGCCCCTCTATCCCTGGTACAATACTTTTAACCACCAGTACCTTTCCCGCTTGAAAAACAAAGTCGAAGCACCAAATTTTTGCACATATGCCCTGTTTTCTTTTCAGAAGAAAAAGCATTTGCCACCAGTACCTTTCCCCACTTGAAAACAAAGTTCAGCTCGTTAGCGGCTGGGGGTTCAGCCACAGGACCGAAATGGCTGGTGGCGCCAGCCACAGGCAGGCCCACATCGCTTCGTGTTTTTTGCCGCACAGGACGAATTCAGGCTCGGCATCAATAGCTGGGCGGAGTACTGGTGGTTTAATAAGAGCATCATGCCCCTTTCCGCCCGGAATTGAGGTTCCTCAGAGCCTGATGGCTCTGTTCTTTCACCCCTACACCCAAGTTCGCAACCGGAATTTTTTTTGGGGGGGGGCTATGCACGTGTGTCATTCTTGAGATCCGACAAAGCCAGTCTTCTGCCTCAAAAAAAAAGAAAGGCGAGTCTTCCGCAGCATAGGAGGTGCTGGACATCCGAACAGTCAAGGAATGTTAACCCAAGCCATGCAGAATAGGCCTTCAGTAAGGGCTGATCCACTACTCTTCTTTTTGGGGAGAAGTGGCATTTTCTGGGATCCCACTTCTTCCTGCTTTCTCAGGTCTTCCCGCCGGTCTCCGAGGGCAGTGGAAACAAATGTCTATGTGGCAGTTTGTCCGCAACTCACGCTGCAGTAGTTCTACCAAAAACCAAAAGAAGAGGATGGTCGTCCCTGCTCCTAAAAAGAAGGCTGTCCTTTTTTTTTTTCAATATCCGGTGGGCTACACTGTCCTTTCCTCGGTGTGACAGCACATTCCTTTCCCCTTGGACCGCCGCCAAAATCGTAAAAGCCCCGCTATTGTGGGCCAAGTGGGATTCGAAATCACTTTTCCGTTCCTCAGCGGGCGGGCCGCCCAAGGCGGTTCTTTTTGGTTCTCCCCGAAAAGAAGAGAAGTCGGATCAGCCTCCGACTTCTCTTTTTTTGGGGGGAGAACCAAAAAGAACCACCTTGGGCAGGCCCGCCCCCTGAAGAACGGAAAAGTGATTTCGGATCCCACTTCGCCCACAATAGCGGGGCTTACAATTTAAACCACCACTGCCCCCGCCGGCCTAAAATGGACTTTCCCGGCCTTACGGACCGGGTTCTTAGGGGGTCCCACTTGGCCCACAATAGCGGGGCTTTTATGATTTCACGTGCTGTCACACAGAGGAGAGGCCCACGTACCCCACCGGATATTGAAAAAAAAAAAAATGCCAGCCTTCTTTTTAGGAGCAGGGTCAGCCATCCTCTTCTTTTGGTCTTTGGTAGAACTACTGCAGCGTGAGTCGCGGACAAACTGCCACATAGACATTTGTTTCCACTCCCCTCCGAGACCTACGGGAAGACCTGAGAAAGCGGTGCAAGGAAACTGAGCGATAGCGAACTTCAGAAACCAAGCAGCATCATACACATGAGACCAGATAGTCATGACCTCGAACCAAAAGCAGAATTGCATCACGAGTCCCACCAAATAATAGTACAGCAAAAGCTCATAAGTGACAATGTTCGAGTAGTCTTATCATCATCAACAAAGGACCAATGTCGACATCCTATCTGGCGCTCGGCGCCCAGACTACAAATGGCAGATCCTATCTAGCCTATCTACAATGCCGCTGGTGATGTCAACAACTCCCCGAAGTACGAGCAGATCTCGGCCAATGCCATACGCTTCAAGCACCAGGTATGTCTCTCGTATCACTCACAACCTCGTTCCCCAACTCACAGATGCCACATGCACCCAAGGACCACCATGCGCCCCATCCAGCATACAGCAGCGCAGCTTGGCTATGGCTGCCTACTCCTTCCAGCTCGCCCGGGAGCGCTGGCCAGCGTTAGCTCAGCAGCGCTTGCGCAGCATGCAGCCACTCCCGAATACCAAATGTGGAGGCAGGCCCTTTCCTAAATGGAAGTGGCCTGCCTGCTGCTGCGGCCAGGCTGCGCTGGGCCTTCGCCCGGAAGCTTCCGGTAGCCCCCGAGTGGCTGAGCCCCAGTCCATACAGAACAGGCCCAGGTCCTGAGTTAGTTGCCCGTACCCAACTGCCCACAGCCTGTGTTCGGTGTGCATATGCGTCTGGCCCAGGGCGTACTTCAGATACATTTGCAAAATGGAGCCTGGGCCTGGGCGCTTGCAACCAACTGACGCCGCGCAACTGTCTGATTTTCCCCAGTTGCAAGATAGCCTGAGAAAGGGGCCCCTAGGTCCTAGTCCAGCCTGCCTTCACTTAGGGTGGCCGACAACACTGCAAACAGGGCCAAAGGGGGCTCATCGGGCCTTAGGCCTCGCATTCCCTCCTCCATACTTCAATAGTCCTCTGAGAAGTTCAGTCTTCAATAATATGGCGCTTTCCCTTCTGCAGAGACTTCTCATATTGGGTGACTGCCTGAGGAGAGGTCTGCATGCGTTCCTCCCTCGTAAACCACCGGTCCTCTTTTGGATCAGTGTGATGTCTGAACCGAACGCAGTACTGCAGCTTCGGTTTCGGAGGATGTCCCCTGCCTGTCGGTCTTGAAACTGGCACTTCCCTGTGATCAACGATGTCGTCGATGTCGATCTCTCCATCCATGGTTGGGGGCAGCATTGAGCGACGAGAGGGGAACTGATCTGTTTCTCTGAAAGGTGCAAGTTTGGAGGCGTGAAAAACAGGGTAAGTGCGTAAGTGACCAGGGATGCAAATAACATATGATCGTCCATCCGGTTCATCTCCAACAACATCTAGGACCTCCCACGGTCCGAAGTACTGTGGCATGAGCTTGCTGGAGATCCCGTGCTCCTGTCCCAGTTCTGAGGATTTAACCCAGGCTCTCTCCCCTACCTGCGGCGGTGCTTGTTCTCAGATTCTATCATCGCCGCCTGTGCCTTGTGCATCTGTTCCACAGCCTGCTGCATCAGACGCTCATATCAATAAGCGAACTCTAAGATCCCTGGTGCAGCAGAAGGCTGGTTCTCAGGTAATCGGAAATCCAA